TTAAAAAGCAAAGATGTCACTTTGAGGATTAACAAGCGCATGACTGAAGCCATAGTATTTTCAATTGCCTCATCTGCATGAGAAAGCTGGACAATTAATAAGGAAAACCAAAGAAGAATCGATGCATTTGAATTGTGGTGTTTGGAAGAATATTGAATAGACCACAGACTGTCAGAAGAATGAACAAATATTTCTTGGAAGAAGTCAGAAGGATCCTTGGAAGAAAAGATGGGGAGAAGATCTGTCTCACATAGTATGGACATGATCCCAGTAGGGACCAGTCTCTAGAGAAGGACATCATGCTTGTTGAAAATATTTATCAGTGAAAAAGAGGAAGACCTTCAAGGAGATGGACAGACACAGTGGCCCAAGAATGAGCCGAAAGAGCCACCGAAAGGATGAAAGAGGAGTGGGTAGTGTTTTATCCTGTTGTACACAGGTCATTATGAGTTAGTATGGACTCAAAGGAACCTATCAGCATTAGCGATAATTTTAGAACAAAAATGACTATCATTTTCTTGGGGAAATTTTCTTTTGTTTGCTTAGTCTCACTTAGGGTCAGACCGTTTGGAAACTAAAACCATATAAATCTGTCTTATTTTGTATTCCCACCTCCCTCTAATGCCACATCTTAATGTAGGCATATTGTCCTAATTTATGGGTTTTTGTTTTGTTTTGTGAAACCAAACAATCACCCCTCAACTGACCTTGTAATTCAAAACTGTCATTTAAAAGCAGGTTTGGATCTACAAAGAAAAGGAAGAAATAAATTTTATTATTTTGCATCTTAATTATTTCCCCAGGCATTATTGATCTCATTTATTAAACTACCTAAACCTTGAATATGACATCCATGAAGCTAAGAGGTCCACACTTCTTTCCTGACATTTTATAACTAGCAATACATGTCTAGCCTCACCTATAACTCTGCCTTAAAATGGGGAGGGGTGGCCCAAAGACTCGAAGGACTCTATCATCCTGAGTGTGAGTTTGTGTGTGGGAGGTGAGTGTGAGTTTGTGTGTGGGTGAGGGACCCCCGACTCTGACTTACCTACACTAGTGGGATAGGCATGCACTTCAACACCCCCAAAGAAGGGCTGTTCAGAGCACGCTTATGTGCACTGAGAACCTTTGTCCTACATGGCATTACAGCAAGAGGTTCCTCAGGAACACAAATGGGAGATTACAGAGGACAATATCTCAAACAGACAGATAAGCCACTGCCAAACTTTCAAAACAGGACCACAGAAAAGTGAAGTTATTAGGAACATCGGTTGGTCTTCCTCCAGGTCACAGTCAGCTTTGGAAAACAGGGTGATAAGCCACCTAGAAAAATCCTTCTTTTTTCGTCCACAATGGCCCAGGAAAGCATATCTCCACACTGTGTAAGTGGAAAATAACCAGGGCTTCAAACCAGTTCCGTTTGACCCCCTGCTGAGAATCAGCCTGCCCACCCTAAGTATTCTGAATCAACTGTGGGCAGAAAAGAAACTTCTCAGCAGGGTATAGTCAGAAGTAACTAGGTTCAAAGCCCAAAACTAGCACAGCTTTGCATTTAGCAATCCCTTTTTCTAGAGTAAGGAGTCCTGGAGACACTGTGGACTAAGCATTAGGTTGCTAACTACAAGGTTAGCCATTCAAACTGACTAGCCCCTCCGCAGGAGGACCAGGAGGCTGTTTTCATTAAGATGTACAGTCTCAGAACCTCTATGGCACCATTGTGCTTTGTCTTAAAGGGTTGCTATGACTTGGAATCAATTCCATGGCAGTGGGCTTCTGTTTTTCTTTTGTTTTGTTTTCTCTAGAGTATAGAGTTCATCTAACAACACACGTGAGACCTATTCCCTTTGGTCACGGATGAGTCTGGTCATTAAAAATAGGACCCACTGAACAGATGGGCCCATGTGAAGAAATCACAGGTCACCCTGCACATCACTTGAAGACCTTCCAACATTTTTTCATCTTGGAAAACTGGCACCAGCCTTGTCATCATTGCCAATGTGATAGCAATATTGGTATTGTTTCAGCTGTAGGCCACATTCTCATTAACATTCTGATTTGCCAACGCCTTGCTTGGTACAAAGTTTATGAGGTTATTGGCACCATCCCCAGAGGAACTGAGTACAGTATAGACCCAGTTCCGGCATGAAGCCAGCTCATGGTCCCAAGCTTCCTTATCTCCTCACAGGGAGATGTGAGGAGTCGAGAGATAATGTCAATAATGCTTGAATATCTGCCCAGAATGAAAGTACATATTAGTTTTACTTACTCTCTTTTCTGTGCTCCCTTAAGCTGTAGTTGTTATTAAGTGCTACTGAGATGGTTCCAATTCATCGCAACCCCGTATAGGGTTTCCAAAGAGCATTGGGTGGGTTTGAATCACTAACCGTTCGGTTAGCAGTCTAGTGTTTACCGTACAGTGCCACACCAGGAGCTGCTCCATTTTACTGCCTTGATTTTTCTCCCCAAAAGTCCTGGAAATAAAAACCTTTTGCCGTTTTGTTTCGTTTTTATTTTTTAAGGACAAGAACTTCTGAGATTCCCATCTGGTTTGGGCTGTATATAATCCAATGATTTTATCATAACAAACTGGGCCAAAAAACTCTGATCTCAACCCAGATGCTAATTAAAACCCTACCTGAGTCATGTTGCTATGGTTACTGGGATTTCTACAAGCCCTCTGATTCTTAAACAAGAAAGTTTTAGTTACTTCTCCCAGGCTCAGGTGGTATTTCTGGGATTGGGCCAGGCTGGTTCCTGTAGGATGTGGACGGCACTGCCGTAGTCAAGAGCAAAGAGTGGGTTTTGCCTACATACCATCTAAGCTTTACACTGGATTCTGCTGTTCGTCTCCTCTACCCTTTCAACAACCAAGTGTAAAACAGGGCTAACAGCAGCTCATTTTAGAGAACAATAACCTGGAGAAGCAATCACAGTCTGTAGGTAAATGAGACAGATAGACATGAACCTGGGTATATGAGACCTAAGATTGAGCTTTGAGCTAATATGCTCAGCTGCTAACCAAAATGCTGAAGGTTTCAATTCATACAAAGGTGCCTCAGAAAAAAGGCCTGGCAATCTACTTCCCAAATATCAGCTACTGAAAGCCTTAATGGTGTACAGTTCTCCTCTGACGCTCATGGCGTTTCCTGGTTCCTCAGGCTTGAGGAAGAGAGACACAATGCCCTATGTAAGTTCCTATGCCTGTTGGTATATGCTGTGTGTCTAGGAGCACAAACTATAAAGTCTTAGGCAGGGTACTTCAGTTCTTTCTTTCTCCCTATTTTTCATCTGCAAAATATGGATAGTAATTCCTACCTCCTAGGGTTGGTTTGAGGATAAGAGACTTAATGTATCGAATACTCTTAGATCACTGCCTGACTAATGACAGCTCTTCACAGCTGCTGACCCATCATTCATCCCAGGAGTTAACACTGTAGCCAAAGACAGTCTGAGGATCTGGAGAACGTCTATTCCACGTGGTAGGTGGCCAGTGTAATGCTAGAACAAAGTACGGTGGTTATGAAAAAAAGCCCATGTTAGATCGCATCACAGCCTGAGACTCCTTCATGTTCAAAGTCAAGTGCCCCAGCTGCTTCCTTCTGTGGTCTGATATCAACCCAGAGGCACATCAGCTGAAACAACCACTGGAAATGACAAGACCTAGAGAAAGTCGGTTCAGAAACGCTATCAATTCTTTTTGAAAAACAGCGGGTTTCTCCTTTCCCTTATATGAATCGGTTTTGCTCTAATCGAGGGAAAAAACTCCCCCCTGAATTCTAATTCCATGTACAGCTCAACAACTTTAAAAAAACAAGGCATTTATTTTTCTGAAATCTTTGAAATGGACCTTAGACTAGCAGGAGAGAGCAGTGAAACCTTGGAGAAAGTTGTGAGTTTCAGTATGTTAAAATGAAACTACATTATTGTCTCCCTTAAAAAGCGCATCTGAGGGTTTCTAATAACATGCTGACTCTTACTCTTCTGTCTCTTGGCCCTGAGGCCCTAATAGGCATCGTGGCACACAGTCACATCGAACGTGTTCACTAAGCACACATTCGGCACTGCCAGTTGGCTTCTCCATCTCTTTGCCTCCAAAATTCCTGCTGCACAGCTTCTGAGACCCCTCTTTTACATGTTTAAATAAAAGGACCATTTCAGGGTTTCCTTAAGATAGCTTGCTTAAGACTCTGAAAAGATGGGGAGACAGTTGTTGTTAAGTGACATTGAGTCGATTTCGACTCATAGCGACCCTGTATATAGGGTTTCCAAGGTAGTACATCTTTGTGGGAGCCAAACACTCATCTTTTTCCCACGGAGTAACTGATGGGCTCAAACCCTGGTCTTGTGGTTCGAAGTCTAGTGCTTATCCTCTAATGCCAACAGATGAGAGTAGCAGACTATAAAACGACAGGCACCAAAAAAGAGCAAGAGCTCAGCAGTGCTATAGTGAATGACTAGCTATGAAGCTGCCTGTCTCAACCAGGGCACTGCTGGTAAGTTTGTTTGCTGAGCCCAAACAGGAACATGCTCTCTGCAGGCTGTGATGGACTCCCTTCTCTGAAATTTAAATAAAGGCACAGGGGCCTTTGGGAAGACACCGGTGGCTGGAATACAGGAGCAAACAGTTAACACCCTCAGCTGCTAAATGAAAGGTTGGAGGGTTGAGTCTACCCAGAGGCAAGCTACTGTTGAAAAAATTAGCCATTTAAAATCCTATGGAGCCCAGTTGTATTCTGACACTTATTGGGTTGCCATGAGTTGGGGCTGACTTCACAGCTGGTTTAGCAGTTATGCAGGACTGAGAATGACAGACACAGAAGCAGACAGACACAAATCCCTGTTCCAGTTGCAATCCCCTGGTGTGTAACTGTGAAGGCTATCAGCAGGGGAGGGAAAGGGTGGTGTATCTGACAATGTCTCTGGAAGATCCCTCCATCCTGCCAGACAAAGACTTTTTCCTTCAGAACCCCAAGTCAGAGACTGACAAGCATTCTCACCTTGACTTTGGAGGCGGGGGCGGAGGTGAAAATGTCTCAATTCTGCTTCTGTCTTTGGGGAACTCAAAGGCAAACGAGGCCGATTTGCTCATCCCAGTGCCAGCTTTGCCATTCTGCCTGGAGGAGCCATCTGTTGGGTGGAGACGGTGCCAGGTGGAGGAATGTGCGGAGTCCGAGGTGCCGTTTTCCATTTCTCTGCCCCAGCCTCGACTCAGTAATTCCGGTTCCACCTCCTCCTCTTCCTCTATCCGGCACTGACGACTCCAGGCGCCTGTCTGGTACCTGGGTCGCCTCTGGTCCAGGGAGGCAGCTGTGACCATGGAGGTGGTGGGCGGGCACCTGACAGGGTCGTTTGCGGTGACACCATTTGGACGGCAGGAAGCAGTGGGGTCAAGGGGGCCTCTGGATGAAGGTAGGGTCCCAACAACACTGCCAGAGGTGCCCTCGCTGAGGTCAGCCAGTGGGGAGGCAGATGAAGACACAGGGGACCCTCCAGGGCTACTCTTAGACAACTTAGGGGGGATGGCAGGTCTCCCCTTGGGTGTGTTCTCACCCACATCATGACGCTGGCTTTCCCTGGAGCTCAACCCCTGCCTAGCTGATGTCTCCTCTTCCCCGGCCTCAGTGTCTTGATTCACAGGTCCACGGGGCCACTGCACCCCCACCGCGGAGTCGGGGCTGCTCAGGCAGATTGTCCGGTGGTCCTCTTCTGGGTGGGCTGCCATGACAGTGATGGTAGCTGCCACCTGGGTGGGTATATCTGGCCCCTCCCTGTCCTGGCCCCAGGCACATGCAGCGTTCTGAGCCCAAGTGTTAGCAGTCCATATCTGGCCCTGAGCAGGTGCTGACTGTTCGGCCTTGGCCTGTGGTCTGGAAGGCACTGGTCCTGCCTTCTTCCTCTTGGTGCTCTCAGCATAGATGGGTTCAGGTTTCTCAGTCTCCCTAGAGGTGTCTGGAGGCTGGGTCTCCCCAGTCAGCCCAAGGCATGTGCCAGAGTTCCCCATGCGGCAGCCTGTTTCCTGCTGCTTCTCCAGCACAGGTTCCTTTATGAGGGAGCAGTAATCACTCTCCAGATGGGGCGCAAAGGGGCTGCTGGTGCCACTGCTGCCACTCCCACATGAGATGCCATCTGAAGAGCTGGCAGCCTCTGAGGTAAGGGATGGCTTCTTGGGTCCCAGACGGGATGGATGCTCTGCCGAGTCCTGGGTACAGCACTCCCTCAGGAAACCCAACACCTGCTTGTTCTCCTCAGGGGGTCCAGCACACATCGCCTGGTCCCAGTAACCTGGTGAGCAGTCCCCTCCATGAGGTCTGCGTCTGGAGCCCTCAGCCTGTGAGGCGTCCTTGGCAGCAGGACTCCCAGGGCAGCAGTCCAGGATGGAGCAGTACTCTCCACCTTCACTGTCCCCCGAGGGCGAGCACCTTTGATCGCTGTCATCCTCTGATGGTAATGATTCCTGCAGGGGCTGGGGAGAGGAGTAGGACCCAGGGCCCTTGGTACAGCCCGATGCCATCTCTGCAAAGGTGGCCAGTTTCTGGCGGAAGCTCTCCTGAGTAGAGGTCAACTCTTGGAAAGGAAATGAGGGTTTACCCTCTCTTCCACACTTGTCATTGGGAAAATTCACCGGGTGGAAAGCAATGTCCCTTTCCCCCCGGGTGTCTAGATTGTGCAAACCGACCATGGCAAATGCAGGGGGGCACCGAGAGCTACCATCCACAGGGGAAGAAGGACCACCAGGCTTCTGGGCACCACGGAAGCTGCTCAGGAAAGCTCTCGGAGCATCGTCATGTTTTGAGAGGGGGATTTTGCTGGGTGCTCGTCTCCAGATGACCTAAGAACCCAAGGTAAAAAGACTTATGTGAGATCTTGTTAGAAATAAAAGAGAAAAAGTAAAAGGCAAATGCCATGACATTGTACTGGGGGAAGGCAGCAGCCGGCAGCTCATCAGTGCAGGCGCTCCAGCACGCCCACCTTCTGATCTCCCCACAAGCCTTATCATCATTGCAGGGTACCCAGTGAGCCAGTTGTCTTCCCATAGACAGAGCTGAGCTTCCCACCAGTGACTAGTTACTCTTTTGGGTCAGGTCTGTGATGAAGTGGGGGAATGAAAAAAAAAAATGGACAAAAAGAATATTTTGCCATCTCCCTCACAACTGTGAGATGAAGTTTGCCTGTGGGCTTTGAAAACCAGGTTTTGGATTTTGCTTTTGTTTGTTACTTCTTTGATAACCATGTTGTGACCTTGTTGTGCAGTTCTGAAGAAAACCAGAAATAAGAATTTTTAAAGCAATTAGAGTCTAAAGCCTAAAACCCACCACATCAGGTCGGTTCCAACTCACATTGATCCTAGGAAAAGAGTATAACTGTTTCTTGGGGTTTCTGAGACTGTAAATCTTTATGGGAGCAGATAGCTTCGACTTTCTCCCAGCGAGTGGTTGGTGGGTTTGAACTGCCAACCTTGCAGTTAGCAGCCCAATGCCTAACTCATAGAACCACCATGGTTCCTACCAAGTTTTAGAAGTGGTATCAAAATCAGGCCTCCATTTGTTTCTTTTTCAAGATGATTCTGAACTTAAGGAGCCCCTGGCTTATATCTGTGATGGGTGAAGGTAGCCAGAATGGCCCAGTGAATGGACATAAACAGCTTAGGAAAGCAGCCACTCTAGACCTGTTCCTGACAGGAAAATCTCAGTCACAGGAATGTCACAATTAAGCCTCCACAGATTTGAAACTGACCTTTGTTTTCTCACACACACACCCTTCCTGATCCACTCACCACACTGGTTCAGAAGAACAAGTTACAGGCAAAGAGGTTAAACAGGTAGCAAGCAATTCTAAGAACATGTCCTAGACATGCCTAAAGGCTGCAAACTCCAGCCACCCTGTTCTGTGATTCCTTTAGGGATGTAACGGATTTTAGTGATTCTAAATCAAAAGGTGTAAAATTCAAGCTTCAAACTGGAAATATGAACACTGGCTGGGTGCCAAACACCAGTAAGGAATTACTGTTAATATTTTCAAAGTGGTAGTGATGGTGGTGTGCCATAAAGTCAGTTTACAGGAGCAGAAAGCCTCATCTTTCTCCCACAGAACTGCTGGTAGTTTCAGACTGCTGACCTTGAAGTCAGCCGTCTGACTCGTAACCACTACACTACCAGATGATGGTGTTGTGGTTCTAGTTCATGTTGTTATTGTTCAGTGCCATCACATCAGCTCTGACTCACAGCAACCCTATATAGGGTTTCTGAGGAGCTGCTGCTGGTGGGTTTGAATTGCCAACCTTGGGGTTAGCAGTCCAGTGCTTATCTTACAGCACCGCACCAGGACTCCTTATATTTTTATAGTGTTTCTCTTTTAAAGATATGTGTTCCCATGATACAGTGCCCAGGGATTTGCTTTAAAATCATAATCAGGGTGAGTGGGTAATGGTAGTGATTAAACAAGATTGTGAGCTGATAGATATTGAAGCTGATAATTACTGCTTGGTACCAACACTTTAAATGATCAGTTAAAAAGTTCTTTTAAAAATACACCAGTGTTCATTGCAGAATTGTTCACAGTAGCTAAAAACTAGAAACACCTAAGTGTCCATCAACAGATGATGGATAAACAAAATGTGGTCTATACATACAATGGAATATTACTTACACTGAGTGTAATCAGTCAGTTATAAAAGAAGAAATGTGATATGATTCCACTTATACGATGTAGGCAAATTTATGGACACCAATGTGGTTTCTAGGGGTGAGGAGATAGAAAGTGGCTGTCTTTGCTTAGAGGACACTGGGTGTCTGTTAATGGTGGTAGAATACTTTAGAGACAAACAATGGTGATAGTTGCACAATAAGATGAACATAATCAAATGTCACTGAATTGTACATGTATAACATGATGAATTGGCCAATGTTCTGTTGTACAAAGGGACTGTAAGTTTGTGAAAAATTCCATTACCTTTTAATTCCATTTTTCCATGAACTTTTTAAAGTTCTCTCATGTGCAAGTATATATATATAGCAAGTATATATATATACACACACACACACACACACAAATACATATATGGTGCTGGACGATAATGCATCAGACTGAAAAGTCAATTTGAACTATAAGGTTGGCAGTTCAAATTCACCAGTCTCTATGAGTCAGAACTGACTCAAAGGCACTTAATAAAACAACAAAAAACAATATATAGGCGTCCTGGTGTGGCACTGTGGGATAAAGCACTGGACTACAAGGTCAGTTTGAAACACAAGGCTGGCAGTTCAAACCCACTAGCTGCTCCTTGGAATCCCTATACAGACTGAGTCACTATGAGTCAGAATTGACTCGATGGCACTTAACAACAACAACAATTTTACGACAAAACAATTTATATATATATATATATATATATATATATATATATAGTTGTTGTTGTTATGTGCCATGGAGTCGGTTTCAACCCATAGCAACCCTGTACAGGGTTTCGGAGGCTGTAAATCTTTACTGGAATAGAAAGCCTCATCTTTCTCTGGCAGAACGGCTGGTAGTTTTGACTGCTGACCATGAGGTTAGCACCCCAACTCATAACCACTAGAAACTTTAAAAAGTCTTTCAAAAGCTCCATTTTGTCTGCCTTTGTACCATCTCTAGATAGCAGGATGAAATTTTGAGAAGCAGGATTAATGTTTGTTAGCCCAAAGGGACAGAAAGAAAGGAGGGTAGGTGATGGCAAAATACCATCAGTCAGGAAGGAGCAATCTTGAGGCAAGCCAAGGGAAAGCCATTCAGCAGGATTCCTGCTCTAACAGCCCTCCCTGGCTGCCAGCCAGTCACCAAGTGTTACAACAGGAGCAGCCCCTGTAAAAATACCAGAGAGGTTAGTCAGCCTCACCTGCGGGACCTCGGCGCTCATGCCGCCCTCTGTCCACACATCAGAGGCATCAGAGCTCATCATGGTGGGCTTCACTGCGATGGTGGGTTTGGAGTAAGGTAAGCCGTTCACTCCCTCATCTTCTAGACGGCAGTTCTCAGGCCTCGGGGGCAGGCGGGGTGGAGCAGGCAAGCTGCCCGCTCTGAGCTGGGGACGGCTGGCCACCAGTTGGTGGTCACTCCGCAGGCAAAAGCAGTTCTTACAGGACCCGGGCTTCCAGATGTGCTCTACAAAGTCACTGCAGGCAGACATTTTCGGGCTCTCAGGGTTCAGTCGGATGGTCTGGTGCATCTTGAGTGGACAGTGTGGTTCATCTTGTACCCAGCTCTCTGGTGTGATCTTGGCAAACGTTGGTCACAGAATAGTTTCCTGGAAAGGCAGAAAACATTTGCCTGACTAGAGATCTCCATTGTCAGAGAATGGGCTCATTATCAATGAGATGGGGATGAAGGAGGAAAGTGGTAGATTATTATTCCATCACTTCTGATGCCCTCACCCAGTTTTCACAAGGTTCATGTGTCAGTGTCCGGTGGTGCGGCCCTATCAGTAGCTGTAAATACTGAACACAGCTCTCTTGCGCGAGTCGAGAGAGGATGAGACATTCAGCCCCCTAGAATCTGGTGCCGGTGGAGATGATAAGCCTGTGCCTGGTGCAGGTACAACCTGCTGCCGAGGATACAGAGCCAAGAACACAACTAAGTAGGAAAGGAAGCAAAAATGTTAGCTGCCCAAGGATAATCCGCAGTTTCTGACCAAAAACTATGTGAGGGGAGCCAGGCTCAGGCCTTGATATCAACCTTGTAATTCCTACTTCTGGCCAGGAAAAGACTGGAATGTGTTAAGAAAGGGGAGGGGTGTGGTGTGGACTTGACCCCCACCCCACACATCCCCACTACTGGAATCTTTTCTGGAGGTTTGGCATCTTGGGAATTTGTCCCCTTCCCCTCTTCGTTAATGTAAGTTATTTAACCCTGTGATTACTGAGGTCAACTAGGATCATGCAGCAGACAAAGGGGGCAAACAGAAGAGTGAAAACAACAAAATCATGATCACCACACCTCTGTGGTCTGAGACAGAGACAGAGAGAACAAAAGCAAACAGTTGCCTTCAGATCAATTCCAGCTCCTGGAGCCCCCATGTGTGTTAGAAGAGAACTGTGTCCATAGGGTTTTCTGTGGCTGAACTGTCAGAAGCAGATTGCCAGACCTTTCTTCTGAGGTGCCTGTGGTAAATTTGGGCCTCCAACCTTTTGGTGAGTTGTGAAATAAGTACTAGTCCAAGAGAGAAAAGACATTGTCAAATAGTTAATTTTCTTCTGATAACTTTGGAGATAAGGTTGTCAAGTTTGCTGACAGAGTTAACAAGCCCAAGGGTAAGGTAAAATAAAAAATAGACAATTTGCACCATTAAAACCAAACTTGTTGCCCTCAAGTCAATTTTGACTCATATCAATTAAACAAATGAACATATTAGGCAAGAAGAGATGGGGTTAGATAGATGCCAAGAAACACTGAGATCTCCAAGCAACAATGAAGCAGAAGAGAAAAAGACAAGACCCTTCCTCCAGAGCCAACAGAGAGAAAAACTTCCCTGGAGTTGTTACTCTGAATTCGGACTTCAAACCTCCTTGTTGGAGTCCCGGTGTGGCACTGTGGGTTAATGTGGTGGACTGCAAAGTTGGTTTGAACCGCAAAGTTTGTGGTTCAAGCTCACCAGTCGCTCCTCAGAAACCCTTTAAAGGGTCGCTATGAGTCAGAACAGACTGTACGACACCTAATAACAACAACAGCCTCCTTGCTGTTGTTAAGTGCCGTTGAGTCAGTTTCGACTCATAGCGAACCCACAGAGATTTTACAAGGAGTGTCTGGTGGATATGAAATGTCCACCAGACATTTGAGGTTAGTAGTCTAGTGCTTATCGCGGCATATTTTAATGGCAAATCCACACTCTGCAAACAAGTTGGTGAAGATCTGACTCTTTGAAATCTAGGAGGCTATTTTTGAGATCCAGGAGACTTTGTCCCCACCCTGTGATCCCAAGAGGCCTTGCTTCCCCTGCTCCTTCAACAGTTCTGCTCATCTCTGAGCTACTCCAGGATTGGTCTTTTTGTTCTTTTGGAGGACAACAGATGTAGCCAGGAAGGTGGGGTCACCACTCTAAGCTAAGGGGATGTGGCTGCTAAACTCAAGGGGCAGAAGAATAGGCTTGCTGGGGCAGAGGGCATGGGATCACCACTCAGAAGGACTAGGAAAATACGGTTGCCCATTGTCATCCCAGAGGGCCTGGAATTTAGAGTTGAGGACGAGGACCAAGGGACATCCACTCAGAATCCAGAGGGCATGAATTTGATCTTAGGTTAGAATATGCCTAAAGTCTTCCCCAAGATGAGATTCTAGACTTGGAGTTGATTTAAGTCTTTTGAGATGCTGTGATTGGATGACTGTGTTTTTGTATGTAGGAAGGAACTGAATTTGAAGCGGGGAGAAAAGGGTAGAACATTTTGGATTGAACTGTGTCCACAAAAATATTTGTTGTAAAATCTTAACCTCTAAATCTCTCGGTGGAGTCCTGGTGTGGCACTGTAGGACAAGCACTGGACTACTAACCGCAAAGTTGGTGGTTCAAACCCACGAGCTGCTCCTCAGAAACCCTGCACAGGGTCGCTATGAGTTGGAATGAACTCCAAAGGTTTTAACAGCGACAATAACAACAGCTTCTACATGGGAGAAAGATGTGGCAACGTGCTTCCATAAATATTAGAGTTTTAGAAACCCTGTTGGGCAATTCTATTCTGTCATGTAGGATCGATATGAGTTGGAATTCACTGGACGGTAATGGGTATGTTTTTATGGTTTTATGCCTATAGTTATAATTGGAAGTGAGTTTTTTTTATTACATTAATGCAGCAGAATTGATTAGTGTAGGGTGTACCTCCAGTTAATTTCTTACAAAAGATAAAAGGAGCATATTAAGCAGGAGGAGACAGGGTCAAATCAATGCCAAGAAACCTGGAGATCTCTAATAACTCAGGAAGCAGAAGCTGACACACTAGACAAACACCTTCCTCCAGAGCCGACACGGAGAGAAAACCTTCCCCTAGATCTGGCACTCTGAATTTAGACTTCTAGCTTTCTAAACTGCCAAGAGTCCTGGTGTGGCGCTGCAGGTTAATGCGCTGTACTGCAAGGTCGGTTTGAACCACAAAGTCGGTGGTTCAAGCTCCCCAGCCGTTCCTCTGAAACCCTACACAAGGTCGCTATGAGTTGGAAGTCAACGGCACATAACAACAGCAGCAAACTGTGAGAAAATAAAATTCTGTTTGTGAAAGCCATCCACTTGTGGTATTTCTGTTATAGTAGAATAGATCACCGAGACAGATGATTAGCAATGGTGGTGGTAGTGCCGTGGAGTCAGTTTTGACTCATAATAACCCTGTATAGGGTTTTTGAGGCTGTAAATGTTTATGGGAGAAGAAAGTCTCACCTTTCTCCAGACAGGAATGGGAATGGGAACAGCTGGTAGTTTCAGAGTTAGCAGTCTGACTGTTAACCACTAAACTACCAGAGCTCCTCACCCTATAAAATTACCATTGAGAAGGAACTGGAAGGCTTGCAGACATTATCTAATTAGTATGAATAACACCCCATCAGCTAGCTGTTATCCCATTTTACAGGAAGGGAAACACAATGCCAAAGGTGTTAATTAAGACCTGTGGAAGGCTTTGTGTTTGGGGGGTTGGTTATAGATAGAAAGAAGTAATCCCGATGGCAAAATGGCTCAGTGCTGGACTACTAACCCAAAAGATTAGAGGTTTGAACCCACTCATCAACTCCATAGGAGAAAGGCCGGCGATCTGCTTCTGTAAAGATTACAGGCAAGAAAACCCTATGGGGCAATTCTACTATACTGCATGAGGTCGCTATGAGTTAAATTAAATTGACTCAACAGTACCCAATAACTTAGATACAAAGAGTTTTCTGTTTCTGGAAAGAGAAGCCAACTTTGCTGGCAGCCCCTTACCACAGCATTCATCACACAGAGTAGCTTGCCTTCATCTGTTTGCTGTTCATTGCTCTTCTTTCCCTATTTAAATGAAATGCCTTCCTATAAGGAGAGTGTTCATGAGAAAATCTTCTAAGAACCGATTCTCATTAACTAGGGAAGGTTAAATAGGGAGGGTTTTGCCCTAGGGTTTGCTCTCCATTTTTCTCCCGTGAGAATTTGCTTGAGGTTAGTGCACTCTAAACCATCAACAAGACTAACCAGGTGGGATGAGCCAGGAACCCCAAAGATCATTCCAGATCTCTGTGGGAAATGCTCTCATCCTTGTCTCCCACACTCGCACACAGAAGTGCTTAGTCAACAAACGCTGAAGCTAAATTTACCTCTTTTCCCTCCAAAGCTAACAATGAAGCCCACTACATCTTTAAGCTAAATAAACACTATGGAATAGAAGGTCACCTAGATCCCTGGAGAGCATAAATGGTTTGCTGTAGACTGCTGGTTGGCAGGTTGAACAAACCCGTGGTGCCATGGAAGTTAGGACTGTTGATCTGCTTCAATAAAGATCACAGCCAAGAAAATCCTAAGGGGCAGTTCTACTGTATAACACATGGAGTTGCCATGAACCCGAATTCACTAAGCAACAGGTTGCTGTTGTTGTTTTTAATTTGTGTCACAGCAATCATCCTTAGGGTCTTTGGGTCCCTCTCTTAGATATGATTGCTGGCTAGGTTCTTCTACTTCTCCTCTGCATACACATAAGTAGCAGATTTATTTCTTGCCAGTTCCCACCAAGGATGACACTAGGTTTCAACAAGTAGACCAGGCATACCAACTTGTTTTTGTTTTGTTTTGTTTTTTCCCTTTCTCTTAAAATTTTAGGGCACAGCTATCTTTAAGACCTGCTGCCAAATTTTAGCAAAAGGAAAAAAGTGATAAAAGCATTTTGGTCTTCCATAAGGCAAATACTCCATACTCCTGCCCCAGGACGGATATGAGGTCCTTTCCTGCATAGTAGATTCATGGAAGGTGGCAGAAAAGACACTCAGACTCAGGCCTGCTTCACTGCAGGAAGAAGTTCTCACACCCCCTAGGTGGCATGGAGGAAGAGAGCTTGGAAGCCAGTTCTGTGCAGCCTTGTCAAGTTCCTGTCAGCAACTCTTAAAGCTGGGCTATCTGAGAAGGTGGGAGGCCAACCACATTCTCATGGGCCACCACAGTGTCCCAAAAAAAGCATTTTTGAGGTAGCCACATCTCATTTCCTCTTCAACAGGCTACTGAGAGCACAA